TTATTTGTTATGCGATAGGTTGTTGGTTGATTCGTTGTCTGCTAGAGTTCCTTGTTGTTTATCTTTTCTGTTCAACTGGTAAAGAAGACTACTGCTGCCTAAATAGGCCCAGTAGAGCAATCCGAGTCAATTCATTCTCAATTTTCAAACTGGACACTATTATGATAAGTAATCCAGTCGCAAAGCATTGAGTACAAAAACGTTTCCGGAGGATTAAATAGTAAGATCCACTTCCGACCTTGTTTATCCATTCAGATAAACACAATGACTTACAACTTGAATGCACAGTAATGTATTCTGTGATCCTGTTTTCCTTTTTTCATTCCTAGTGAAAAGTAGGGTTTCAAGGTTCGAACTTTGTTATTTCTATAGGATGGAGCTATTGGCCTAACGCTCACTCTTCTTTCTTTGCTGGGCTTCCTACTGGCTAAGTGACGTTTAGCGGTCCATTGGCTGGGAATCGAACTTAGACTTTGTGCTGCATGGTTGGTAAGCATTCTACCAGTGGACGACTCATGCACATTCTGTGTTACATTATTGAAAGAGATGTTAATATCGTTTGTATTACCTCTATTGTTCAATAACGTCAACAGTAGAAAAAGTTCACATACTGAAATTGGATATTTTGAAGACAGCAAACACTGAAAAATGAAGAAAAGTTCGTCAAATTCAAACAATAGAAAGGGAGTGAGAGAGAGCGGGAGGTGGGAACGACAAAAACCGCACAAAAAAATTCGCGTTTACTACCCTTCCTCCCCTCCTACACACACAACACTGGTAAAAATTATTTGAAGTGAATCATGGGAACGATTTGATGATCGAGTGAATAAGGTTAGTCAACAAATTGAATAGATTAACAAATGAATAAAATAAAACACTGGAAAAACCTTTCAAAAACTAAATAAAAGAAAATGAAACATTGAAAATAGACGCGTTCACGCACATGCACCTCCACGCACACACACAGCCAATCCTGTGTATAGGTTTCTATGTGCGCTGGTTACTTCATAAGAAAGAGGAAAAAATTATCTCCCGATAAAACCATAACCTCTTTTCCATAAAGAAAGTTATTTCCTCCCATGTTTTATAGTCTATTCCAAAGGAAATTGGAAATTGTTGCGTGATATAAAATGTTTTAAAAAATTTCTTCTAAAAATTAAAATACTAAAGAATGGACGGAATAAGCACGAGATTTAACCAGTAAATGAGATAATTAACCGCATACGAAAGAATGTTAAGGCCTTGTGTCAGAGAAAGATACATATACACACACACACTAGTTGATAATTGGTATAAGAGGGCGGAATTTAACCAGGAAAGTTGAGCAGTAGACAAGGAAAAATAAAATCAGTTTCTAGTTTGAAAAAGGTTTTTACTCTATTACTTAGATCGGTCATAAATGTATCCCTTTTGAATGTTACAAAGGAGGAGAGGGAGGAGTATGACCTCTTCTCTTCACTTCCTTACTGTCTGACTTTTCAAGTGAAGTAAAGATAGGAGCTAGAAAAGGGCCAAGAAACGGTACTACAGATCTGCTTGCTACATCTCATCATTTTTTGTCCGTATTTATTTAGAAAATAAGCCTTGAGATGAGATTTTCGTTTACTTTATTCTCCAGAATTCTACCTTGTAATGGGTGGGTACTTACTGATAAAGATTCCCAAACTAGGACGAAACAACTGTCCAGTACTCCCAGGGTTTCTAGTGGTTCTCTAACTGATGTCAGCTCATGATGAAATCCTTGATAAATTCAATAAAGTCACAAGAAATGAAAGCATCTTTGACTGAGAAGATGATACTATGTTTTTTCACAAAACTTCATTATGTTTCACGCAAACTTCATTTTTCGCTGGTCATAGATGTCACTCTTTTCATCTTAATAAATTCTGTTTTATATATTTTAGTTACACTTGTGCAGTAACTGTGATACATTCCTTTGAGTTGTGAGTGGAACAAAGGGCTTCAAGCTATGAAGCTTTGAAGTTTCAGCAGTGGTGGTGTTGTCTTTTTCAGTATTGCAGTTGCTAGCTTCACACTCAATGTCTTCTCTTTGCCAAGAATAATACGGTGAGTATACAATCCCTGAACCAATGACACACACATATCATTGAACACAGTCTGATGTTCCGTAAAAAGAAACAAATGAAGTGGCTTTTCAGTTGAAATTCTGCACTCTTACAGTGACAAATTGATGACACTTCATTTGGTATAAAATAGAGATTTTGACTGGTCACTGTGTCATGTATTCAGTTCTCAATGTTAATTGTGACAGAAGTGTATAAGTCAATTTAAAATATGTTTATCAGTCTAAAATCTGCACTGCTTAGGGGATATATTTTTTTAAGTCATTTGCACACTTTAAGTTGAAAATGTCTGGAACATGATAGTGTCATAAATTCATCAATATCCTGTGAAGCTGTCATTTATTATTTATTTATTATGCCCTTTGGTTCCGAGTGGAACATAAGGCTTCAACAAGACATCTCCACTTCTTCCTATTTTCTACTGTCCTCTTCAGCCGGCTGACCCCATGACTGACCATGCTCTCTCATCTCCTCCTACTCCTGACCATGATCTCCTTTGTGTCACCTTCACAACGACGACCATCTTTTCTCTTCCCATTGGGATTCCATTCGAGTAATGACCTGTATTTTGCGCGATGTCACTCGATGGCTTACTCAAGGTGTGCCGGATCCATCTCCATATTCTTCAACATATTTGTTGAAATATCAGCTCTTGGTTGATTTGTTGCCAGCCAAAGTTTCTTGTTGCTAAGTGTTCTTGGCCATTTGGTCTTAAGTATGAAGCCAGCAAAGGCAAAGTGTGCAACTGCCTTTTGGAAATCTTTTTCGTGACTCAAGCTCAGTGGAATTTCCGGACCCGTATAGAAGCATTGACAGACTTGCCATTTGTGTTGAAAATCCAAATTTCGTTCTTTATTCTGAGTGCATTGAAGAGATTTACAAACTGGTTTCTCGTTGATCAGTATGTATCTTGTCTTTTCAGTTCTGGTTATCTGGCTTTAAAAATCTTTATCGGTTCCGACTGCATGTGGTTGAAACAACACCTTCTAGATAAGTGAAGGGAATAATCCCCTTCAAAATCCTCTCAATGAGTAATTGATGATGGTTTTCTTTGTTGTCGGTTGGCTATCTTCATCACCTCAATCTTCTTTATGTTCATTTGGAGTCTTGTCGTCTCTTCTGGCCTCTTCAACCAGTTTGCCGGTTTTCACCTGCAAGTCTTCGAGTCTATGTGACACTAAACATCAATCATCCATGCATGAAATCTAGATATCATCAGTGATAATACGCCGGTGAAGTGGTATCATTCAGCCTTTTAATTATTCCTGCTTTTTGAAAAATCTACCAAAATAAATATCATACCTCTGAAGATTTAAGTTTACATCACTAATGTATAACTTTAAATTTTCTATAGTTTGATTTGTTATGTTAAGAATTGATCACGGATTGATATCAGTTAGAGAAAACATTGAAAACTGGGTTCGATTCCCAGTGGATGCGTACTGCCGATGATTCCCGAAATAGGACGAAACAGCTGTTCAGTAGTCCTTGGTTTTCAATGGCTCTCTAGCTGATATCAATCCGTGATCAACTCGTAGAAATATAAATTTAAAATTTTTTCAAAAAACATTTCATTAAACCCATTTCAATCCTAACCTATCTAGATTGACAAAATTAGAAAACCTTAATTAAGATAAAAAAAAGTTCTATTTTTAAATAAAATTAGTACTTTTAATCCAATTATACAAATTTAATCTAATGAAACAATTTTATGTGATATAAGTTAAGTAAATTTCATGATTTTATTTGATGAGGTGATCATTAGAACAAGATACATTGTGATTCATCTCATTTTATCTTATGTCCAAAATTTCAAGCAACTTACAATCTCTCAGAATGCCAGTAAATTAGCCTAATGGTACATAATACTGATTGATAGTGAGTAGTTGGAAACTGCCCACGTCAACTCGTAGAGCTTGACAGGCAGTTTGAAGTGATCCCTGTTGATTATAACTTACTGTATCAAGCAGGTCATATTTTGTCGTCTGAATATTTGAAGGTCGCCGAAGGGAACTATGGTGAATTTTCAGCTCGATCTGTGTAATTTCCAAATTAAAAATTTCATTTACACTATTCAGACATTGAAGATACCAGACCAAAACTGACAAGTACCAACCGCAATCAACGAAAGAAATCTAAAGGCAGTCAGTCACCTCTTACGCCTACCTGTCTGGACAACACCGTTTCAACCACAGGTGGCAGAAATAATAACGTCAAAACTATCATCGAAAAAGCCAGATAAGCCTTCATTAATCGGTGTGGAATACATTTGGACTCAGGATAAAGAAGAATGTCTGGAGCTTCAACACTAGTGTTAGCTTAGTGATTTTGTGTGGTTCAGTGACATGGCTCGCGCGTCACGAGATGCATTTTCATCAGGCTACTTCAGACCTTTACTAACAGTTGCCACTGCCACATTCTCAATATCAAATGACCGGTCAGCTAGAAAGAATAGTCCAACAGAGGACCCTGTCAAAAATCAGCCTAGAACCTTTTAATCAAAAAATATGCAAAAAAATTTAGAGGTAGATCTAACACGCACACACACTGTGGAGACCGTTGAATGACATCACTCCACAGGTTCTCAAGCAGGAGCCGAATAGAAAACTATGAGTTAGTCACAGAAGAAATCGTGTGAATGAGGATGAGAACTTTTGTGGCGTTTTGGAACCAGCTAAAAAGAGCCACAGAGAACAAAACAAAATGGCGACATTCTGTTGAAACCCTACTTTCCACATGGAACCCAAGAGAATAATAATAATAATTTGTGCAGACACCAAAATCATTTCCAATAAAACCCACATACAGTTAATTGAAGTACTTTCTAGGATATTTATTCCGAAATAAAAGAAACCATTTTATCATAATAATAAATCTACAAAGGATAAAACTGTCTATCCAGAACCCTTTACTTACTTTTTTCTGTTCATGTTTAATTGCTAACTTCAATCTGTCTAATTTGAATGAATAAAATTTCCTTTGTTGTTTTATACAATTTAATTCTGTAGGTTCATGTGTATCACAATCAAATCGTCTCACTGTCGTTGTAGTAGTATTAGTAGTAGCAATATTACGATTTAAATTTATATCCCTTTCTGTTGTTGCTGATGTCTTTGAGCACAGACGACATCGACAAGATGGCAGACAACAACATTGATAACAACAACGAACTATCTTATTTTGATTATTACTATTACTATTATTATTATTACTATTATTATTAAAACTGTTACGTTCATATAATTCATGTTTTGATTGAGAAGTGTTTATAACTGTATTAGAAGGTAGACGTTGATTAAAACCACTTGTTGGTGATTCCCAGTCAAAACTATTTCTTTTACGTTCAAAAAATATTGATGAACAACCTTCAGATGTATTCAATATTGTTGGTAAACAATCTTCATTAGAAATCCGTTTTCTTGAAGTATTATTTAACTTATGAATTTCATCATTATTGTTATTAGGGTTAAAGTGTGTATGTGAATCTTTAAAATCTCTTGTAACAAATGATGGTAACTTAGCTAGCGTATACGATGTAGTTTGATCAACTGGTAATTGTAGGTGTTCACTATAATTCATAGAATTATCTGAATAATTCAAACGTTCACTTTTACTTGTTGATGGGTGAAGATTTGTAGTACTAGCTGAATCATCACAAATACTATGCTGACTTTCTATACTTAATGCTTGATTAAATTTTGAACAAGAATACGTAGGATGATTCCATGCTGTACACCTTCGATGATGTCGTTTTCTAGAAAAATTTGATCTCTCCAACAATTCACGCCAATCATTTTCAGTCTCATCAGATTGATTGCAAATTGGCATATTCCCATTATCGCTGTTGGTTTGATGACAATGACAGTTGGGAGAGTAGCATGGTGTAGATATATGATTCGACGGTACAGTTAGATTATGCATTTTCCCTGCTGTTTGATTATCATCTGACTCATCACTACTAGCATCACTACAACTTTCATCACTGTCAGTCCCCTTGCTGAGTACAGCGACAACTTCTCCAGTCCCCCGACATAAATCCAACAAATCACAAGCATACTTTCTACACTGTTCACACAATGAAAGAAATGTCTCCTTGAATTCATTTTCACGTGATGCTAAGTGTAATAGCTCTGAGGATAATTCAAAGGCTGTTAATATTGGATCTGGTGAGGTCAACGATATCCATGCTGGACTAGCAAGAGCTCTATACGTGTTAATTCGTTGAAGGGTATGCTTTAGAGGATCATCAGAGAGTAAACGATGACAATGTTCACAAGAACATGATGACTTATGCGGTTCTTCAATTCTTGCACCACGATTAATCAGCAATTGTAAGATTTCAAATTGATTACAAATAGCTGCTAACATAACAGGGGATATATCCGCAGGAAAATCATGACTTTCTTCTTCACGTTTACCAATTCCAATACATTGTGTTGTCCATGATGTACCTAACATTTCTTTAGTAATCGATGGATGATCAATAAGCATTTCTACTATTCGATATACACCCTCTTGAATAGCATATAATATTGCATCACCAATTTCGATACCAGGCTGATCAAGTAAAAGTTCAACTAATTCAGTATTTTCATTATCCACAGCAATTTGTATAGCTGTACGACCCAGTATATTAACACAATTTACATTAACACTATTTGAAAATGATAAACATCGAATTAGCGTTGATTTGTCTCCACGTTCTGCAGCTTCTAAAAATATTCTCTCCAGCGGTGTTAATTTATGCTTTTCTCTTAATGGTCCTAATGCTGTGGAATAATTAGGTGTTTCATACGGTGAACGTCCAGAACGTCTATAACGTTTAGGTCGGCGTGCATTATTTAAATACGAGGTATCATTTAATCGTGGTACACCTGAATCACTTATTTCAGTATCTGAATTAAAAAATGCCTCTAATGGATCTATACTATGATGTACAGGTTCAGTGAAATTAGTTTTTGTAGTTGATGTTGTTGTTGCTGTTGTTGTTGTTGTCGGCATTTGATTGACTCGATTCTTATAACGAAGACTTCCTGTAGTTAAACGTCGAAAACGACTAACACGTTGTTCTTTATCATTAACAGATCCAGTCCTATAGGTTCTGTTATCCGTGTCATTTTCATGTTGAGCAAATTCAACTTTTCTAGTATCTAAATGAGTAGTAGCCATTCAGTGTATGTATATTACAAGAGATGAAGATTATATAAATTGTATATATGATATATTTTTGTATACAATTACTTAAGAAATCACTAATGTCTGAGGTTAGTAAGAATTCACAAAACTAGAAACACGTCTGTGACAGAATAATAACCATACAAACTGAAGTATCAGTAGGGATTTTGTAGTCATAATATATGTCATTCTGCCTTTTTAGGGTTGAAAATGTGTTCCCTCTTGAATTTTATATTTATCGAACGAATATCAGTAGCAGTGGCACTGGTGATAGTGATAATAATAATAATAGTGGTAATAATGCTAATATATAATCCAGTAAACAATAATGTGTAGATAACTGAGCTGTAAAAATCTCTCCGCTCTCCTCCACTCTCGTAAAATATCCTTGCCAATTTCTTAGAACAATTTTGTCAATCTTCATAAATAACAGAAAAAAGTCAACTTAATATCTGGTTGGTTGGTTGGTTGGCTGGCTGACTGACTGGCCAGTTTTATGTCTTTTGCATTTTATCTGAAAGGGTATATGTGAAATAGACAAAAGGAGCGCTTCAAATAAACCTCTTCCTATTTTGTTATTGGGATAAATCAAAAGTTTAGCAGTTAGCCTATTGGACAGCTAGTTACTTGGTTAGTTAGTTTGTAGTTGGTAATTTAGGTTTTAATTCCTTGATGCGTAGTGCTTTATTTTCTTCTTAAGTGTACAATACAATAAATAATCAGCCATATATAAAAAGCGGAAAACTAATAAATTTATCAAATAGTGATAAGAAGAATATTTTTTTGTTGTTGAAGATAATATGTATGTTTCTTGGCTTTATTCTTTTCATTCTCCTTTCTCTTTATTCTCTTCAGGTTGAGGATTTTCGTCTCAAGTTTTATCATGAATTGATTTCGGTTAGAGAACCAGAGAGTATTGGACATCTGTTTCGTATTAGTTTGGAGCTTCTACCGGGGTCTGAATCCTGGATCTTCTGGTTACAAAGCAAGCTGGTTGACCATTCAGCCACTGTCACCCTATTCAACCGCCAGTGCATGAATTCTAACTTCTAATAATTCGTGATTTTTAGCACGACCACCAACCAATTTCATCGGTGGAATATCTACCTTCACTCCTGACTGGATGAACCTCACTGGTCACGACTTCTCACGACAACTCCAGGAAACTCTGTCCTGTAATAATTCACTAGTGAGCATCAGATTGATTTCCAATAGTTGATTTGTAAGAGTTTGATTTATTTTTAGAATATGAACACGGATTGATATCAGTTAGGGAGAATCATTGAAGACCAGGGATAACTAGGTGAGTGTTTCATCCTAGTTTGTGAATCATCGACGGTATGGACCCAGTGGAGTTTGAACTCAAGACCCTCCAATTACAAGGCAAGTTAGCTCGTATACCATTCATCCAGTGGGGCTCGATACAATGGCCAGACCATGAATTCTAACTCCTACAGATTCGTGATTTTTAGCGGGACCACCAGACACTGTCATCGGTGAGTATTTGTCCCCTTGACCTACTAGGTTAACCTTTCTAGTCACGACTTCTCATTAGAACTCAAGGCAACTTCGTCCTTTAACTAATCATCGTTGAGCATCAGACTGATTTTGACTACAAATTATCTCTTGAAAAATTTTGACTTGATACCTTATTTTTCATATATTTAGTTATATTACTGATGTCTGGGCTATCATTTTTATCCATGTTTCTCTTTATAGTCCAGTTTAAGTAAGCGGTTTCCCAATCGTGTTCCAGTCTAAGGCCTCGCGCGTGTTGCCACTCTACAGTCTCTCCAGTGTATGCTAAATCCATCTGTCTCCATTTTCTTCTGCTTATATTTTCAGAGATAGGTCAATGATTGGTTGGTTGCCAGAGTTCATTTTTGTTAACCTATTCTGACCGGCTGGTCATATGATCTTCGGTATTAAGCGAAGGCATCTGTTGATTGAAGTACGCAGTAGCCTGTTGGAAATGCGTTTTTGACATGCAATACAGAAGCACCGAACTGGCATTATTATTGAAGGTTCAGAAGTTGTTGCTTATGCTAAGCGCAGCACATTCCCACACTTTTAATTGGACACTGGTTAGTAACTACTGTTATGTGTCTAGTCCTTTTTGGTGCAGACTAAATTCTATCATCCACCTTTGGCAAGGCGGCCACCTTCCCAGTTAGCTTGCAATCACAGTGCAGCACTGTGTAACGCGAGTCCGAATCTCAGAAAAGAAATGGGTTCCTTCGGGGTTGTAGATACGCCTTTCTGACTGGTGAATGCCAACTACCATGAAACCTAGATCCAAGGCTTCCTGTGGTCGAGTGCCTCCAACCATCTAATATAAATTATTCAAAGATCTCTACACTGTTTTCAGATTAATCAAGGTATGTCTTGCTTTTACTACCTGCCTTTGACATAGTCACCTGTGCCCACTAAACTTGAAATGATGCTGCCCAGGTAAGTAAAAAGGTGACTTTCATGACACTTTTCCTGGTAATGGTGACTGGTGCTTGTTGATGTTATTTTGTTAGTTCAGTAGTTTACTAGCTATTTCTAAGTTCAAAAAAGGAGGGAGGTTTGGTGTGAGTTTAAGGACCCTTCCCTGGAAAATCCATTCAACCGCTGCAGAAATCTCGTCGCACAAGTAGGAGTTCACATCTTCAAATCATGTGCAACCCTAGAAAAGTAGCGTATCATACTGAACAATAAGTTAAGCGAATAATCACCGACTAAAGGAGATGAATAGTAACAGTATGTGAATGAGTGAAACATTTAAAGTCATTTCAAAACCTGGAGCAGTTGAATAAAGTGCGTAGGTGATTTTCGACTAAAACAGATCAAAAGTTGTCTGCAGAATTTACCATTAAGATATGTGGAATGATTTCTTCAAGTACCTGTTAGTTCGAATATATTTAAAATCCTCTCATTAGAGCTATATTTGTAATATTGTTAAAAAGCAATAATTTAAAAGGAAATGCATTCAAAGTGGACAATTGATGTGAATATATATCAGTGAAACGATATGAGTATTATTCCTTGTGTGACGAATTTCAAAATTCCCACAATTTGTTCGATTACTAAACTTGATAAAAAACAACAAATTGAGCACGGTAATAGGGATATCAGTTCACACCAACTGCTTGCAACTTAAAATAATCTTCCAAAAATAAAGGACAAACATTGGGCGGAATGACATGAATCCACTTTATTCAGTGCTGTCTGTTTGAGCTGTGTGAAAACTATCACATTTAATGCAAGGAGTTATAAAATAAATAAGTCCTCTAATAAAGAATATTGTAACTCATATTGAAACAACATACAAGGACGATAAACTATCTAGAAGTACTACCAATATATATATATATATATATATATGCCAAATCAGTAATTCCATGTGGTTCAAAGGTATTCTGCATCACGAAAATAAATTTCAACAGCCTGCTGCAGACTTTCATCAACAGCTGCTTAGATGCAGAAGATCACATGGCTCGCTACCCGAAGAGGATATATAATAAGGAACACTGGCTACGAACCAACCAAGGGCCTACCGCGAAACACAAACTGATGAGGCCGTTAAGAAGCGCCAAACTCCAGGCCCTGCCCTCAAACGGTATTCGAAGGGGAAACGATGAGTTGGGTTTCTTAGGGTGACATAAAAGAGATTGTGTGAGTTAGAGATAAGAGCTTAAAGGTTCTCGTAGAGCCCGCTAAAAGGATTGCGGAGTATAGGGTTAAAGGAAGATGTACTAGTGGAGACCAATGTTCCACTTGGAACCTAAGTCAATAATAATAATAGCAATAAAATTTATCCGTGCATGATGCTATATACTACTGAATAATTGGTATAAATAATCGTCTACCAGTAATGCCTGCTAATCACATCAACGTGATTTAAGCACCAAACGGTCATTTTACTCGTTTTGAGCCGGAGTCATTGTCCGTGTCACGGATTCGACTCAGCTCAGAGAGCTGAATCAGTTCACACAAATCAGATCCTGGCTAACCAGCTACTTGAAAGAACTAGTAATACATTCATTCGCAAATTGAGAATTTAACCATGACTCGATCAATGTTATTCTACCCCTGTGTTTATTCTTTGTCATCTCAAAATTATAAAGGGGGATTTCCTTATTAAACAAATTTAATGCCCCCATATTACTGAGGTGTATAGTCATTTATATGTGGCACAAGTATTAAGTATCAACATCTCAGCTTCTGATCCAACCTGTGTACATAACTGCCACTCATTTGTGTTCTTAGTGTAAGCTAGGACTCCAAGTTTGAATTCAACAACAATGGTGTGGTTAAATTCTATGGGTAGGAGATTGGTAGTCTTCAATCTTCCCCCTTTATCAGATATTTTTCTTATCGGCTAAGCGAGGTTTAATAGTATATCAGTTGAGAAATGAACCCGGCTTGTTTGCAGCGCAGTTGTTGAGCATTCTCTCCCCCTGGAACCACTAAAGCACATTCTATATCTGAAAATAGTATACCATGTTTTTTAAAGACATTGAAATGTTCCTTTTGAGATTTCGTTTTGCTTCATAAATTGTCCAACCAGTTTAGTGTACTCTTAGTCCACTATAAATACATACAGATATGACAACAGAAATGATTTAATGCATTATATTGATAATATGAGAAATAAATTAAAATTATGCTATAATCAACATTAGGTCAAGGTTTTGGTATTCTCTGTGAGTATATGTGATAATGATCTTGAGATGAAATTTATCAAGAGAGCAAAAATAAGTGATGATAAATATATTTATGGAATAAACAGGACAACGTAATTTAATCTTCTCAAGCTAAAACTACGTAAACAGTAAACATCACAGAAGATGACCGATTAGGCAGTTTTTGTTTTAGTATATTAAAACACTTCTGAATACTAATTTAGATAAATATACATACATTGAAAAGAGATTTTTATGGAATGAAAGAGAACAACAAGATGATTCACATCTCCTGAAAGATTTCTATCATGTGATAGATCTGCT